TATATATATATATATATATATATATATATATGTTTGTGTTTGAGAGAGAGAGTGTGTGTGTGTGTGTGTGTGTGTGTATAAATTTGTATTTTAATGGTTTTTAATCAAAAACCAAATGTTAAACACTAGAGATAAAGTAAGTACAAATTCACACCTTTGTTTCATCTATATTACACATTATGTTGGAATGACTTCAAGTTTACTGTTTTTCACACATGCACACAAATAGACATTTCCAAGAACCTGTTGTTATTAGCTGCCTTTTAATGATTTACCACATGGAGAACTAACTGGTAATTAGAAGTCAGCTACTCTCAGCAAGATGTTGCTAATTGTCTTGAAGTATCAAAATATCACTATAAAAATATGAAGCTACCCTTCAAAATAAATGGTACAGGCAACTTGTTCAAAAAGTTTAAAAGTAAAAGTAGGAACAACATTTAAAATGCACAATAAAAACTTTATTTGGTCAATGGTCAACATTAAAAGATTAACAGCTTAATAGATATTCCTGTTGGGATACCTGGACAAGGCAGACTATAATGTAAAATTCTGTGTTAAAACTCCAAATTGTTCTGCTAGGTCTAGCCAGGGAATATGAATAGTTTAGAGCATTTTGAACATGGTGATTCACTTCAAAATGACTCAGTACTATATGAAACCGCTATATGACCAAACGTATCTATTTGAGATCATGACAATCACCAGACGCTTGATTCTCAAACCAGCATATATTAGGATATGTTAGAATTGGTTCTCTTAGTCTAATCAAACATAACTTTTTAAATAATACTCATAACTAACTTCAGAGAGATATGTTAGAAAATAGTGATAAAAAAATTAAGCAGGCAGTAAACTTTAAGAAAATACCTATAAAAACAGTATCTCTGTATTGTAAGCTATGTTATTTCCTTTGATATCACATATACTAGATAGTTTTTATCACTAACCTCAGCCCTGTAAGGAACAAAAATTGCACTTGCTAGGTTTCCTGCAATCCCTGAAATGATATAGACAATTCCTATCCTAAAAGGACCAGTTAGTTTCTCTAGGTCTCGCATGAAGTAGAACTGGATGATAATAGTAATGAAAAGATGTACAATCCTGCAACACATAAAAACAACTTTCAAAACTTGCCACAGTTGAGCTTCAAATTAAATTTTCTATAAAAATATATAGTGAGATAAGGAATTTATATAATTATTAATATTTCTTTTTTTACAAACATCATATTCTTAATCATGCAGGCTGTCACTGAAGAAGAAATACATATTGGAAAACTAATTATTATTACCCGAAATAAATACATTCCATTTATTTGAAGATTAACGGTTTGATCCTCTTGCAGCAGACATTGGCATTATGCTTCATTGATGTCTACTTCAATATATTTCATTGTGGTATGATAAGAAATTATTTAACTTACTGAAGAACAAATATAACTTTGGCATTTCATTGTTGTTTACTTCAATATATTTCATTGTAGTATGGTAAAAGTCATCTAATTTGCTGAAGAACCCATACAACTTTGGCATATTGTTTCACTGTGGTATGGTAAAAGTCATCTAATTTGCTGAAGAACCCATACAACTTTGGCATATTGTTTCACTGTGGTATGGTAAAAGTCATCTAATTTGCTGAAGAACCCATACAACTTTGGCATATTGTTTCACTGTGGTATGGTAAGAAATCATCCAACTTGCTGAAGAACCCATACAACTTTGGCATATTGTTTCACTGTGGTATGGTAAATCAACAAACTCTAAGCAATTACATCCAACATCAATTAAATAACATATGGATTGGACATTATTAGACCAGTTAGTTCAGTAGCATTGAATCTTCTCAGTCTTTACTTACTGGCAGTGATGTAATTACCTATGATGTAATTGTCCAGATTATTTAATAGTTATTCCTTGAAGAATGTGTCAAGAATAATTTTTTTAAATTAAAATCAGAGAAAGTAGCATACCTTTCACTGTAATATTTTCAAAGTGATGAAAATGAAATTGATTATAGCTAGCTTATTAGTTTGATGGTTAATTGAATAATGAGCAGGTTAATTAAAGAAAATAATAATTAATAATATAAAGTTTAAAAAATGAATAAATAATGTAATGTTAAATATTCCTTACCTTAAGTCTGAAGTAAATAATATTCATGGAAAAATTACACTTCATTCATATTATGAATCAAAGAAATTAAACTTTTTAAAAAAACATTATCATAATGAAAAAAAGCTCTGGGACTGGGCTTGAACCTAGGACCTTTGGTCAAAAGGGCCAATGCTCTATCCAACTGAGCTATCCAAGGCTTTTTTTTTACAATAAGAATGAAACTTCATACTACTTTGTGTTGCTGTGGTCATACAATTAATGGGTTGATTTATCACTATCAGACAAAATACACGAGTCTAACTAGATCACATATATATTTATTACTGCTTTATTTAATTCATATCATAAATCAATGAAAATAAACTTTTTAACAAACATTTATTACAAGTTGAAAAGCTGACAGTCCAGGTGAGATTTGAATAGAACTACTAAACCAGCTGTTACAAGAATTTTCACGTAAGTATAACTATTGAATCAAAAATCCTACACTGGCTTTAACAGATATAGTATATCACTGTTTAGCACTTACTTCCATGGCTTGATAGATGGCATCTGCTATTAGTTAACCTAGAGTGAATGGATTCATTATTTTAACTAAAGAGTGAATGGATTCATTATTTTAACTAAAGAGTGAAAGGACTCGTTATTTTTTAGCCAAAGAGTGAAAGGACTCTTATTTTTTTAGCCAAAGAGTGAAAGGACTCATTATTTTTTTAGCCAAAGAGTGAAAGGACTCATTATTTTTTTAGCGAAAGAGTGAAAGGCCTCATT